ACTTATGTCACGAACGAGAATAATATTTTCATTCATTCGGGACTCTCTATCCAAGTAGCAAATTGACGTCATTAAACGTCAAAATGACGTCATTCGCCGTTTAATGATGTCAAAATGACGTCATTCGCCGTTTAATGACGTTATTCGCCGTTTAATGACGTTATTCTGACGTCTAATGACGTCATTGCCGTTTAATGACGTCATTCTGACGTTTAATGACGTCATTCGCCGTTTAATGACGTCATTCGACGTCAAAATGACGTACGATTGCTATTTGGATAGCAATAATGCATGTATAAATATTAGATTGAGATATATATACATATATACATTAATACATACACATACATACACAAAAATATATACATATATATTTAAGTAATGTAAATATATAATATATAAATAATATATATATAAATACATATAAAAATTTATAATATTATTAATTCGTAAATTTTTTTAATTTTAAATTAAAATTATAATATTATTAATTTTACACATATACATATATAAAATTAATAATATTAAACAATAATATTAGTAATAATATACTTAAATAATTTTCCAGATACGTACGTCAGTTTGCTACTTGGATTATAATAATATACTTTAAAACAAATTTTATATATATATATATATATAAAATTATGTAATAATATACTTAAAACAAAGAATTTAACATATATTACAACATCAATTTTTATTCCCACTTTGCAATTCCGATTCTTTCATATTTTATCGTTTGCTTTGATATAAACGTGACATTATTGACATTATCATAAAAACAAAGATCTGACCAAAGGTGCCAAATTAGCATTCCGATTATGCTTTGCAGTAAGAACCAAAAATATAATTGTATAATTACAAAATTTTTGTATAAGCCATTATTTTCTATTTTGTGTTGCTTATGTATTATAATTAATTTATTTAACTGAAGATAAAATTAAAAATTTCTGAAAAATCTTAGTTTAATAGTAGCAGAGAGGCCAATTTAATAAAGATAAAAAATTATATTATATTATTATTATATTATTATTATATGAATAATATGATAATGAAAGCATGAGAAAATCACATTATTCATATAATATAATAATATTATTATATGAATAATGAGATTCTCCCATGCTTCTTTTTACTACACTGAGTTTTTCTCATAAAGTGTTTAATTAAAATAAAAATGAATTAAAAAGAATGTAACAAGTATTTTTAAAATGTTTCAATTTGAATATAAAAATGGTTAGTTTTTTATAGGATCACGAAAATGATGATAATGAAGAAAAATAGAATTACTAATGTTTTATTTGTGTGACGACTATAAATTCGCATCTTATGTCGATTTGGATAAATTATTTGATATTTAGATTCAATATAAAAAACAATATATTTTATAAACTTTTTCACGACAATTTCTCAATACCATATATTTATTTTTAATGTGCATAAAATGAAATCAAACCAACTAATATGTAAATAAATAAACTTAATCACGCAAATAAATTTAATGCTCAAAATGCATATTTTAAAAAATAATTAAAAAATATGTTGTATAATTTAATAAATAAGCAAGTATACATAAATAATAATATATATATAATAAATATATATATATATATATATATATATATATATATATATCTCAAGAATAAATTCAATTGAAATTGATCTTTTTTAAATATTATAGATTTCTGAATAGATTTCTTAAAATACGTGAATTTGTTTCAGCAGATGAAATGCACACGTATACAAACTTCATTTACAATAAATCTCAGCTCAATCAGCTGTTCTGTATTGCATTTTATACGCTACATATAAGAACGTCCATTCCAGTGTAAATATAGGTTCCGTTGATGTTGGATTAACACAAGGAACCGGTCAGTCGAACCGGAAATATACGATTCGTCTATACATACAAATATACATATACACGCATACAAGCATAATGAAGTCACTAGTCCTGTTAAGCTATGTTTAAATAGCTACACCTGCTGCTATAGTACTATAAGAAAACCAAATTACATGTATAATTTGTCTTGTATAAAATTTTTCTTGTTTTTACTTATATTTCTTTAAACATACACGTTAAATAACTGCGGCTTTCTAAATCGCAAGAAAATTTTCATCAAAATCCGTTTGTTTTCTCTTTATTTCTTACACATATAAAATATAATTCTATATGAGAATATATTCTATGTAAAAATTATATATATCTATATTCTATATAAAAAATCTAGAATAAATTTTTTATATGAGATTTCTTATTTATCTAACCACCTTGTTTTATGCATTATTGAATTTATTTCGACAGTAATTATTTAAAAAATATGTATATAAAAAGATACATTTTTTGATTAAAAATATAAAATTTAATTTACACACAATTTCTCTTTCTCTCATTAGCATAACTTAAATTATTATAAACTATTTTATCAATAAAAAATATAGATATGTTTACGCATTTATATATTATAAATTATAATAATTACTCCGTCAAAATAAAAATGTAACATAAGTTATTAAAAGTTATTCAATTTAAATAAAGACCGTATAGTTATTAATGTCAATTTTCTAGGAAGTAAAAAGGCTTATATAAAAAAAATTATTTTATATTTTTAGCTAACTTTTGCATATAAATTTATTAATTTTATTTTACATTTTTTCTTAAATATTTTCAGTTTAATTTTTTAATATTTTAAATATTTTTAAAAATTTTAAATAATAATTATAATATTAATCATATTATTTAATTAATATATATATATATATATATATATATATATATGTATGTATAATATTTGAATTAAATTGAATCTATCCATCTATATGAAGTTAATTAAATTAATTTGAAATGAATAAAGTATTTTCTTGAAAATTGCAACTTAAGAAAACAGCGTGTAAAAAGGTGCATGGCAATGCCACGAGCTTACACAGGTTCATACGGCACAGCAGAATCAAGTGCAGTTATGTTACACTGACCGCTAGGATGCTCCAGCCCGACCAGCAGAGCGACTTGTTGCCATGCAACGTGATGTTTGTCAGAGAATAAAAAAGTGCATCCGATGAATATCGTCCGCTAAGCGGAAGAGTATATAAGCAGTAAAAAGCCTATAATTCTATCATTAATGTGTCTTGAATGATTTATATCATTTGAAAACGATAAAGAAAACTATACCATATGTGCAACAAAAATTGGTAATTATATTCTCGTCAAATTTGAAAATAATAAAAGCAAAAAATAAGAAACAGTTTCTTTAATTAAAGACCATAATTAAATTTGCTATAAAGGCGCACGCATTTCCCGCCTTTCATAATTGCACATACACGTGTGTCTATACATATACGCATATATGCATATGTGTATATGCGTATAGAATATACATATATACATATCTCGGAGGCTCTTGTAAATTTAGATTTTTTTATAAAATACCTCTCACAATCAATTTGGCATTTATTTTTATTTAAAAAACAGATGATCTTATAAAAAAACTTGCAGGAAATAAAAAAATCAGAATTAAATATATATTATTATACATTTTATATATTATATTAAATGCGATTGCACAAACGCTTGCAATAATATATAATAATATATAATAATATATAATAATATAAAATAACATAATATAAAAATATATAAAAACAAAATATTTTTGCTTTATTAATTTCATTGATTAATAATTAATTAATCATTTATAAATTAAAAATATTTTATGTTTGTTTTTTACTTATTATATTATTTTATATTTTATATATATATTTCATATATTATTTAATATTTTAAATATATATATAATATAATTATATAAATTATTAGTAATTATTAATAATAATTAATATATCATATAATATTGTGCAAAACAAAATTATTTATTATAAACTTATAATAAATTTATTAAATTTTTGTTTTCTGCGTTGTCCTTATCTTTATATATCTTATCGTATCTTTGGTTTTTTTTCTTTGAATCATTTTATAATAATAATATTTTTTAAATTATTTGCTGATGTAAATCTATACATAAAATTCTTTAGTTGAAGAATATTTAAATTTTTAAAGTATTTTCTATTAAAAAATCTAGCGGATTTAAATCGCGCAGAATAACCAAGCAGAAATATAATAAAATATTTTATTATTAATAAAGATTTGTGGAAATAAAAAATTAATTATAGAATAATATAAAATATAATATAATCTTCTTTGTTTTTTATTGGATGCAATTTATATGCGATATATTATCTATAAATCTTTTTTAACGATCTTTTTATTATGTAAAATAATATAAAATATTATATAAATATAAATATTATCTAATATATATATATATATATCCCAGACAGTACAGAATATTTATAAAATATTTATAGAATATTTATAATTATTTTAATATTTTATAAATATTTATCATATAACCGATTGAGAAATAGTTGATTATGTTTTTTAAACTCATGATTTCTTATTGGATATATCTATTAAAGAAAATATAAATTTTAAAAAATCTGTATTATAATAATTTAATAAGTAATTTGACGTCATATATTGACTAAATTTATATCATTTTTGGTCAATATTTAATCAATATGACGTCAAATTGACATTATTTTGACCTTCTGTTCTCCTTGGAAAATTGTTGTTTTATTTTTATTTGATTTGTTATTGAATGCAACAAAATTAATATATAAAATATTGAGAATATTTTTAATATTTCTATAAAAGCTGGTATAAAAAATTTTAAATTACCTCTGTATGTCTCTCGCGTTAAATCAAAATTATATCAGAAAATAAGTGTCTTAATTTTTGCGTTATGTCTCATTTTATTTCATTTCATTTTCATTCAAGAAATGTCGACGTCATCGACCTTTGTACAAATATATGTATATAAAGATCTAATCAACATGGCTGTCAAAAAATTAGTCCAGAAGACAACAGCCAATCAAAACGCTCTTACTTACAGACACATATTGTTTTCCATCTTAATAATCTATTTAGTCTATGACGTTGTTTATTTACGTTCTGTTGTCTGCGAGTTGCACGAGAATGACAGTATTGTAAATAAATAAATTAATTGAGAAGATGCATATTAAAGTGTAATATAATATTAGAAAATTAGAATTGTTATTGTGAATATTCTCAAAAATATATATATTATATGGATAAAATGAACGTGGAACAGAATATTTGTAACCTCATAACTCCAAATAGAGAGACGTTTAGCCCTATCAGTAAGATTATTTCTTAATTAAATATAACTAGATACGTATACCATAAATTATATGTTTATACAAATAAAATAGAGTAATTAAAAAAATTTATATTAAGAGATTTTTTTAGTATTCTTATGGAACTGTAAATAATAAAGAAATATTTATATTAAAAGCATTACTTTTCAGAATTTTACATTATATTAAAATTAATTTATTGCAGAATTATCTCCACATAAATTTCAAGGAAAAAATTTGACAGGAACTGCATGTCTCGTACATAATTTAGCTGCGGATATTCATTCAAATATACAAAAGTGGAACAGTTTCCATATTCAAGGAGTCACCTGCTTAAGAAACATAATACAACTAAAGAGGGACAAAAATTATTCTGTGGCTTTGCAAAATCTATGCGATGAATTAGAAAATGTTTGTAATAATCTGGTAAGAAAACCTTCTTTTCTCTTTTTAATTCTATTTCTTTTAAAGTTTTAAGTTGATTAACTTTTTATTTTTAGTTTAATAATTTTTAAGCTGTTTCTAACATTGATCAATATAAATAAAAATAATTGTTTTTACAGGATAGCATAGTTAAAAACTTGGAGCAAATTAAACATCAGTTGATAAGCATAACAGCCTTACAAAAAACTGCAAATAAATTGTTTACGACATGGCCGACAAACAAATTTGGTAAAGGACTCTTACAACTAATTAAAACTTGTAATCCAAAAATTTTTAAAATTCTAGCGCTGCATGGTTCAAACTGCTTATAATTTTTGTATCTTTCGCTAGAGAAGGTAATATGGTATACATTTACAATGCATTTTTGTAAGTGCATTACATATGTCATAAGTAATTTTAAAATAAGATTTCCATGAACAAGGAGTAACAAGTTTTTTCAATGTATTTGTTAAATGTTTTATGAATTTTCATACTTCTTTTTGCCAACTTTGAAGTAAAATCTGATGCTCATTCTTGTTCATGAAAATCTATTCATTTCAAAATTGCTGGCAACATATGTGATGCATTTATGCACCCAATAAAAAAATTGTATTTACATTATCTTACCAGTATTTTGAAAAATATTGGAAATGGATAAATGCTTGTAAACTTTAGTAATATTGGTTAAGCAAAAATTTTTTATTAAACTGATTATTTAACTAATGTTAATTTTTTTTTTCAATTTTTATATTTTTTAATATTATTCTGTTATAGAATTGTATAAATAATATTCAGTATAAATATATAAAATCATTGATGCATCATAAATGTATGTTGCCTTCTCTAATAGTAGATGTTGATTCTATAAGCAGTTTGTATCTAATAATATAAAACAACTAATATTTTAATTAAAATTTAATTATTAAAAAAAATCATTATTTAACTATATATATTTCAAACTGTTTAGGTGAGGTAGCAGAAACTATATATAAGACATATCATAAGGAAGCTGAATTGAAACGCAACTTACTTGAAAATGTTGCTCACCATCATACGGAATCTTGGAAAATGTTTTATCTCGCAGCATGGGCACATCAACCTTTAGTATCTGAAAATTTAACGATATTATTGAACTTATTGTTAATTGAAACTGGCCTCAAATGATAACAGTTTCTAATATAGCATTTAATTTTTCTTTATTTTAATGTAATTAAATAATGAATTAAAATAATATTATTTAAAAAAAAAATTATTTTATGTTCCAAAGTTTGCATTGTCAGAATACTAATACAAAAAATTTCCAAAGAATTGAATCATTAATATTAAACTGATTATAGTCAACTAAAGTTTATATCTTCTTTTAATTTTTATATTTTTAATTTTGTTCTTTTATAAAATATATACAATATTTGCATATTCTATATACATTATAATAGTAAATATTATTTATATATAATTTTATAAGTATAATTAAATTATATATATATATATATATATATATATATATATATATATATAATATGTATATTGTGATTAATAGATTATTATAGAGTGATTAAAAAGAAAAATTTTGATAACAAAAAGATTTTTGTCACGATTATCAATCTCATATAGATATAAATTATTCGACTGGTGTTTATTTCTTCTTTTAATTTTTGTTTTTAAATTTTTTCTGTTCTTATAAAATTATATATAAATTGTATATAAAAAATTGTGTATAAAATGTATATAAATTTATATATATATATATATATATATATATATTTTTTTTTTTTTTTTGTTTAATTTTGTTCTCTATATATATATAATTAACCTAATCCTTATATAACAATTTATCATTAGTAACACCAATTAATCACTTTATTTCAAGTACTTAAAATACCGATATACAGTAATTTAAGTACTCGAAATAAATGATTAAGTACTCGAAATAAGTGATAAATTGGCGTTACTAGTGATAAATTTTTATAAAAGAATTATATTATAATTATATATATATATATATAAAGTTTCTTGTAAAATTCAGAAAAAATACCAGAGAAGTTCTCAGAGAAAAATAAAATAATATGTAACAGCACTTAGAATTCTTTTCTTCCGCACAGAGCCGTTCTTCCAGGAAGTACGAAAAATTCGAAAATAACAGACTACCCATAATTCATCCCTAAACCGACCAATACAAACCTTCCCTGTGTCTTCCGCCGATCCTCGCTCGTGATTGGTCGAAAAGGCCTCTAGGGAATTGTTTCGCGCGTCCTGATTGGCCGACGTCGCACAACACCCTAGAAACTCCCCAGCTGGCGATCAATCGGCACGTTCGATGAGTCACGTCACGTGACAAACATATATATAATAACAATAATAACCTCGTATAAAAGATCTGTCCGGATCCGTCAGCCGTGCTACGTTACTTCGCGAGTTGGTTTGGTCGAAAGGGAGGAAAAAAACGGAGAGAATCTATCGCATTTCCGAGTCTTCGAAATTCCTTGGGGTCAGTATTTCGGGATCGGTGCCGCTCGCGCGAAATTTCGGGAATGTCGGCGGGGAAATTCAACGGAGTCGCGAGTTTCACGCGAGCGAGATCCACCGATCCTAACCTATAAAAGACACGCGCCACATCGTATGCAACAGATCATTATCGCTGGAATTTTGTGCGCACGCGGGGATTCCGCGTAGCCGGCCGGCTCGTGATTTCATTCCTGTCAGACGGCCCCGTCCCGAGGCCGATCCGCACCCGGCTCGCCTCCTCGTTTTCGAGTCCGAGCGGCCTCGAGTAATTTTCCCGTCCACGTCGGGCTTTTTGTTTACTGTCCCTGCCGTTTTGAGGTTAGGTCGTCGCTAGGATGAATAATTAAGGCAGGAAGTTGCCTCTTTTGCTGGCAACATTTTTTTTTTTTTTTTTTTTTTCCATCATTTTGACGTTTTTAATGTCAAACGTCATATGTCATTGTTAAGAAATATATTTTATGCGTTGCATTTATTAGAATTTATATATATACATACATATATATATATATATATATATATATATTAAAATTTAAAAAATAATATAATAATAATAATAACTAATAATTTAATAATAATAATTTTGACGTTTTTAATGTCAAACGTCAACAAACGTCATATGTCATATTGTTAAGAAATATATTTCATGCGTTGCATTTATTAGAATTTATATATATATGTATATATATATATATATATATATATATATTAAAATTTTAAAAATGATATAATAATAATAACTAATAGTTTAATAATAATAATAATTTTGACGTTTTTAATATGAAACGTCAATAAACGTCATATATCATACGTTGCATTTATTAGAATTTATATATATATATATTAAAATTTAAAAAATAATATAATAATAACTAATAATTTAATAATAATAATTTTGACGTTTTTAATGTGAAACTTCAACAAACGTCATATGTCATATTGTTAAGAAATATATTTCATGCATTGCATTTATTGGAGTTTATATATTAAAATTGAAAAAAAAGATTTTTTCTGCTTAGGAATTTTTATTGTGCATTTTTTTTAAGAATTATATGTTACGCAATAATTTATTTACATACACATATATACACTAATGATAAAATATATATATATATATATATGTATATATATAAATCTATGAATTGATTACATTTTCATGAGATATTTGTACATTAAAGGTTTATTTTATACGTTATAATTATAAAATTTAATAAAACTTGTCATACAATGAGATCTTGTTGCGATGGAACTCTTGAATAGGATTTAAAATGATGTTGATATTTTTACAGATAAATAATGGCAAATACGGAATCACTTGCGGAAGTAACTGATGTTGTACAAATTCTACGACAATGGGAAGAAGAGCATAATTCACAAATGTACGACCCTATTCCTGTTCTTCAGAGATTAGCAGATATAATAGAATTGGAGACTGAAAATTATATGAAGATGGATCCAGATCCGTTTGATGAAAGACATCCCTCTCGCACTGATCCGGAGTGTAATTTTGGGCATATATTAAAAGTTTTATTCAGGAAAGATAACTTTATGACAAAGGTAATTATTTTTTTATGTATACAAAACAACATTTATAAATATTCCTTACATGCTTGTAATTTATAACAATTTTTGGAATATTTTATCTTTTTTTTTTTTAATATGCAATTAGTATGTTGAGATAGAAACTAAATTTTATTTTTGCTATAAGAACATTTGTGTTATAAAGTTCTATAATTTTTTTTTTTATTGTTGAGTTTTCTACAACTTGTCATTTTTGAAATAATTATAATTGTCAACAATAATTATATGTACTTTGTTGTCCATAAGTACTTACAAATAATAATACTTAATACTTAAATCTTTGTCATATGAATGTTTTAATGCAACACTTGTTTCCAGTTAATAAATGATTATTTGAGGGACACATACTGGTCTCGTGCGGGAATAACTGGAAGGGATGTGAGAAAGTTGAACATTGCTGCCTGCCGCTTGATGCTAGACATACTTCCAGGATTGGAGACATCCGCGGTGTTCCAACCAGATATGGAGGGACTTATCCACAGATTATTCTCTTGGTCGGAGAAGAGTGTCGAACCGTTACAGAGCTACTCGACCGGTCTTCTGGCAGCCGCCATGGAGGTGCAAGACATTGCGACGGGATTCAGGGATCAGAACGCGAAGATGGTGCCGCTGATGCTGCAACGATTGCACAAGTTGCAACAGAAGGCGCAGGAAGATCGTCAGCAGAAGGCGCACGAGGATCGTCAGAAGAACGCGAGGCCGTTCGCTCACTTCGGGCAGGACAGGAACAGCGGCGCCGGCGACCTCGAAGACAAGGGCGTCCCAGGGCGGCACAAGGCGCGCGAGAAGCCACGAAAGAACGGAGTGGTGAAGAGGCAGGAGGTCTCCTCCGACGAGGACGATTCTTCCACGCGTAATTCCGACGATTCGCCGGTAATCAAGAAGAAGAGGAGCAACTCCGGTTACGAGACCCCGGTAAAGAGCACCGACCTTTATCCCGAGATCATGTCGCCGCCTCTGTCCATTCCGAAAAGCGCCAACTCCGTCAACAACTCCAGCGTGACGCCGTCCAAGCAGAGCGGCCTCCAGCAGCAGAGGAACGTCCCGGCGTCCGCCAGATGCAACTTTCAGAAATTGTCGAACCTATCCTCGCAGAACTCCAGCACGTTACTGGAGGGGAACTCGAACTCGTCCTGGGCCGAGATGGAGTCCTACGTGATCGGCAACGTACAGATGTACCCGCCTACCCTGGCGACCCGGCAGATGCTGATCCTGCGTTACCTCACCCCAATGGGGGAGTATCAGGAGTTCCTGGGCCATGTATTCGAGCATAACGCTCTGGACCTGATACTCAAGTACATAAACGTACGCGAGACCAAGGACAGCCGGCTCGCTTTCGAGGCCCTTAAGTATCTCGCGTCCTTGCTTTGTCATAAGAAGTTCTCGATTGAGTTCCTGAACGTCGGCGGTTTGCAACGACTCTTAGACGTGCCGAGACCGAGCGTCGCAGCAACAGGTGTGTCTATATGTCTGTATTATCTCGCGTACTGCGAGGACGCTATGGAACGAGTGTGTTTATTGCCGAAGCACATTATATCCGATCTTGTAACTTATGCATTGTGGTTACTGGAACGCAGTCACGACTCCGGACGGTGTCACGCGACTATGTTCTTCGGTTTTTCCTTTCCTTTCAAAGTTATACTGGAGGAATTCGATGCGCAGGACGGCTTGAGAAAATTATTTAATGTGGTAAGAAAATATATATATATTTATAGTTTAATTATTGTTTATTTATTTTGATTGTTGAGAGTCTTGTGTTTATGTTAGATTGTGACGTCAGCGGCGAGAAAACACATGCTGAAAATTAGATGCTAGGTATTCGAAATAAACAGATATTTCGGTGAAACAGCACTTCAGATGGTTTTAGCACATTCTTAAAATTCAAAATTATCCTTTTCTGTGACGTCACAATTCCAGCATGGTTGACAAGGAGCCAGGGAACCTTAATTAAAACTTATTTTATATATTTATTTCATTCAAAACAAAAATGTAAAATTTTATTGCTTTATTAATTTAATTATTTATTTTAAATGTTAAGGGTCTCCTGAGTCTTTGCCGCGGACATGTCAGATTGTGACGTCAGAGACGAGAAAATACATGCTGAAAATTAGATGCTATTCGAAATAAACAGATATTTCGGTGAAACAGCGCTTCAGATGGTTTTAGCACATTCTTAAAATTCAAAATTATCCTTTTCTGTGACGTCACAATTCCAGCATGGTTGACAAGGAGCCAGGAACCTTAATTAAAACTTATTTTATATATTTATTTCATTCAAAACAAAAATGTAAAATTTTATTGCTTTATTAATTTAATTATTTATTTTAAATGTTAAGGGTCTCCTGAGTCTTTGCCGCGGACATGTCAGATTGTGACGTCAAAGGCGAGAAAACACGCTGAAAATTAGATTCTATTCGAAATAAACAGATATTTCGATAAAGCAGCACTTCAGATGGCTTTAGCGCACTCTTTAAATCGAAAACAATCCTTTTCTCTGACGTCACAATTCCAGCATGGTCGACAAGAAGCCAGGAGTCTTAATAGAAACTCTTATTTTATTCGAAACAAAAATCGTCAATTTTTATTGCAAGAAAGATGATATAAAAGTAGATTTAAATTATTCTTCATGAATGGCAAAGTGTGAAATATGCTTAAATGTTGCAGATATCTACATTGCCAATTTTAAACCTTGAAGAAGAATCAACTATAAATGACGATGAGGAATGTGCCTCGAGGCAAATTGTGCGACATGTAGCTGTTGCTTTAAAAAGATACATGGAAGCGCATTTACATATGAAAGCAGAACAATTACAAAGAGCAGAGAATGTTAGAGCTGAACGTGATACGTGGCAGCCTTCGTTACCACCTTACAAAGTAAACTATTTTGTGATTATGAATTTAATCTATTTTATTTTAATTACACAAGAATTCACGTTAACATCTCATTAATTAATTCAGAAATTTTTTTTTTAATTATAAATCTTTTTTAAATTTTAAATTATCTTTGAATCTAAAAGCACCTGCCTTGCCTCTCATTAAAAGTTGGTAATCCACAACTATGTTATTATTTATAGATTTAATTGAACATTTATTATTCTTGAAATGTTTATTCTAGGCATGCAAACTCAGCAGCGAAGAAATTCAAGCCAAGGTGGAGCTCCTTCAAGAATTAATGTCGGTCAGAGCAGTGTGGCCACCAGTGGAAGAGCTTCATCGCTTGGGTGGTATCACATTACTCTTGCAAATCATAGCTTTTGCACGTGAATGGAATTACAGTGGACGGTAAGACGTATTCAATGCATCAACAAAAAGGACCCAAGCTCCAAATACATAGGATTTTAGCTTTTTTTCATATGTCGCAGCTTAGATATTGTTGAATAGAAGATAGTGGTAACTTGAAAGCTAAATATCAGATAGTAAAGTAAAATATCAGATAGTACACTAAATTACAGCTGTCAAACAACACGCAAAGTTCTAATTTTTAGTGTTTGACTGGCTGTCAAGTCAAGTAATAAGCTACAACATACAGCGTGTCCCATAAGAAATTACTAAAACTAATCAGCTGTCATTTTTTAACGCATCTAGTTATTGAGAACAAATATTGTGTTGAAAAGAGGAAAATCTACAGTTTTTAATGGATATAAATAAAACGTTTATATACCAGTTTATTTTAGTAAAAAATAGTAATAAAAAAGTGTGCTAATAATCACATATGAAAACTAATGATAAATATTTTTGAAATACGCACTGTTTGGATTTGTACAAAATTCTGTTCTTCAACGAAAACTTGTAAAAACTTTTTCTAACATGTCATTTTTAATAGCTGCTATTAAATCTGACACTATTGAAAATATTTATCATTAGCTTATGTGATTTTATGTGATCATTAGCACTTTTTTCATTACTTTTTATTAATAAAATAAGCTGGTATACAAACATTTTATTTTTTTAATAACTGTATGCATTAAAAAAATGACAGCTGATTAGTTTCAGCAATTTCCCATAAGAAATCTTTCCTATGGAAAATTACTGAAACTAAACACCCTGTATGGAAAAAAAACAGCCAGTTCTACCAAAGGCCAAAATCCTATGTATTTGATGCAGGATCTTTTATCAAATTTGTATAATTTGGTAATTTATTAAAATCTTCTGTGTCGTAAGTGTACACAATTATTTTTGAGGATGTCTAAATGATTGATATTTCTTTAATTTTCAGGGTACATGCTACTTCCAGCGCGGAGACTGTTCGATCGTGTCTAGACGTAATCGCAATTTGTTCCGTTGTACCTAAAGTCATGTTGCTACTGTGCGAAAGAGTTGATATGCCAGATATGTCGATGACGATGGCGATTAATCTTTTGCTAGCGGCGGCCGAATGTGAAATTATCGCGGACGCTGATGTTCAGAGAGCAGCACTTAGAGCTGTAATTAATTGTGTATGCGCTCCCATAAATAGAGTAAGTTTTTTCTAGATAAATTCCTCTTCCGGATATTTTATTTTTTTTTGTATGTTTGTGCTAATGACTAATGCTAACTTTCAAGGTCGGAGGAAATGTAGCCAGATATTCCGTAACTGGATCTGCTAAGAAAAAGACAAACATACACAACAGTGAGGAATTGATCCAGAAAGTATGGGAAAGTGTTAGGTCAAATAATGGAATAATGGTACGTTTCCATATAATCATGTTTTTTTAATTATTTTCCTAATAATATATTTATGTAATTATTGAATATACAATAATTAATAATATAAAATTAAATATATTAATTATTAAATATAATTATTTATATATAAATTCTATATTATATAATAAATATAATATATAAATTATACATAATAATAATTAGATTTAATAATTATGTATTTAATTATATATTTAATAATTATAGTCTTACTGTATAATTTATTTATATGGTTCTTGTAGGTATTACTGCAATTAATGATGGTAAAAACACCAATCACTGATGCCGATAGTATACGAGCACTAGCATGCCGTGCGTTAGCTGGATTGGCACGTAGTGAGAAAGTCAGGCAAATTATTAGCAAACTACCGATGTTCACAAATGGACAAATTCAGTCTCTTATGAAAGATCCTATTTTGCAAGAGAAACGACAGGAGCATGTTACTTTTCAAAAATATGCTCTTGAACTAATGGAAAGAGTTTCTGGTAAAGCAAAACCAACAGGCGCAGAATATGAAATTTCCTTAGTTAGTTTACACAGGGTAAGCTACTTGCAACTTATATATATATATATATATACACAGGATAGTCCAAAATAATCATATTTTTTTCAATTATAAATTATATGATATTTCAAAGAAGAGAAAAAGGAAGGAAAGCAAGAGATATTTTTTGGAATCTTTAAAAAATTCTACAATATCTGTTACACTTCTATATATTTATTTATATTTTTTTTATAAATTTTTAAATAAAATGAATTAATTTTTTAATTAATATTTTATTCAATATATTTAATATTTTTTAATTTTTAAATTATATTAAATATATTATTTAATATAAATTTAATCATATTTTTTGATATATTTAATATTTTTAATTAATATTTTAATTAACATTTTTTATAGGCCAATGTTGTAGCGCAAACAAGGATACAATATAATGAACAACAGCTTAATCAATTAATATATCAGCATCTCATTTCAAAAGGTTTGTTTGAAACGGCTAATATGTTACATAGAGAAGCAAGTTTAGAATCATCTGCAATTATGAGATCTACAATAACATATCAACCATTTACATACCGAAATCCTACGAACGTAACCGTGAGTTCAATTTTTTTAATTGATAAAATTAATTTTTATAATCCTAAATATCAAGTACATACATAAAATTAATAAATATTATCGTTATATACATTCTTTTTTTAATTATGAAATAAATTCAATTATTTTCTGAGAAATATTTTTATATTTCAGCCGAGAAATAGTTTTTCTCCTGGTGCTCCCGTCAACTTATACAACACAAGCAGATGTACGCAAAGAGAAGCCAGAAATAATGCTACCCCCACATCATCTCGATTTATATCTCATACGGGTGCTTGCACTGGTTCACCATCTATTAACAATAATATTAGATTAAAACTTGCGGACTGCCTGAATCAAAATGTTATTTCGAACAATGTGAATCAACCGATTAAACTACAAATTAATCAGAAGTATGTTGCCAACGTCTTTTTTAATATGTATATTTATTATATATATAATATATATATTTTTATTATATATATATATATATATATTTTATATATTTTATAATACAATATATATATTTTAATATATATATTTTTAATATTTATATTAATATATTATATATATATATATATATATATATATATAAAATTACATATTATAATATATAAATTTATAGCTTGTTTTCTTTCTAATATTAATTTAACATTATATATTATAGAAAATCAATGTCGTCCGATAAACAACTTCTAGTCCCAACTAGTTATCAATCTACGATACAACCAATCAGTTGTAGATCTTTACAAAAACAGATCTCTAGAGATCCTGGAGGTGGTGGAGGGCCTGGGGTAGCTACTTCTAATTTATCTGTTACTCTTGATTCTATTATTACGGAATATTTAACGAATCAACATGCACTTTGTAAAAATCCTATGGTAACATGTCCACAATTCAATCTTTTTGAGTAAGTAAAATACATTTTCAATTTTTTTCAAAGAAAGCTATATATTTATAAAATTGAATTGTTTTTAAGTGGAAAATTTCTCTAAATATCTAAGTAATTAATATTTATTAATATTTAATTAATTATTATTTGTATTATATTTTACTATTATTACTTAATTAATCATTTATTATACTATATTATAGTAATTAATCAATATTTATTAATTTAATTGTTATCAGGCCACACAAGTGCCCAGACCCATGTACAAAAAATTCTTCACCTACGAACGTAACAGTGAGATTAGCGAGGCGAGCATTAGGAATGGATAGTAGAACGTTAGATAGAAGATACATCTACAGCCGCTTCTGTCCTGTAAAAACTTTTCGGCCTACCGACGCGGGAGGAATATTCACTTGTTGTTCTTTCTCGGTAAGGTTTAATTTGTTATTCTAAACCAGAGCTGAGATTTAATTGCAACTTTGATAGTAGATGCCTCTTCGACATTGGTGTCTTAGCAATAGAGTTACATGTAACTAAGGGTGTTTTTCAGCAAATTACAAGTTACAATTAGCCAGCTCTGTATTTGAATTATTCTTATATACCTCTTTTTAATTATATCTTTGAACGCAGCCTTGTACACAATATCTCATTTTGGGCACCCATGCCGGAGACATCAAAATGTTCAATATTCATACAGGCATGGAGGAAGCAACTTATCAGTGTCACGAATCATATGTATATCATATGGAATGTAACCAACGTGGTAATCTCCTGTTGACGTCAACTGCTTGGAGAACTCCTATGTCAGCACTTTGGGATATAGGAGCGTTTTTTGAAATGAAACTGCCTTTAGACAATGAGGATTATGTTGAATTTGGAAAGCTGCAAGATAGAATAATTGGTACACAAGGAGAAAGTGCAACGGTAAATATTAAATTGTTGAAATTTAAGAAATGCACTGCGTTTCACATAGGAAAATGCTGAAACTAATTGGCTGTCATTTTTTAATGCATACAGTTATTGAGAAAACAAAAATTGTGTTGGAAAGAGGAAAGTCTGCAGTTTTTAATGGATATAAATAAAATGTTTGCGTACCAGTTTATTTTATTGAAAAAAAGTAATGAAAACAGTGCTAATAATCACATATATAAGCTAATGATAAATATTTTCGAAGTGCGTACCATTTGGATTTGTACAAAATTCTGTTCTTTTACGGAAACTCGTAAAAAACTTTTTCTAACATGCCATTTTTAATGTTATTGACGATCCTTTTAATAGCTACTATTAAATCTGGCACTGTTGAAAATATTTATCATTAGTGTATGTGATTTTACATGATTACAATAAAATAAACTAGTATACAAACATTTTATTTATACATTTATTTTATTTAAACATTTTATTAACTGCAGACTTCCCTCTTTCCAACAAAATTTTTGTTTTCTCAATAACTGCATAAAAAAATAATAGAATCATAAATTGATTAGTTTCAGCATTTTTCTATGGGACACACTGCATATATAATTTTACATTATATTTTGAACAATCTCAACAAGATTTTATATTTTTAATACTGTCATTACATATCTTTCTATTATAGATATATGATATAGGAACGGGAAAATTATTAACGACCTTGACGCCATCGATTTCTAATCAGTACACGAAGAATCGTGCAACTTTTAGTATGAATGATGAATTGGTGCTTAGCGATGGCATATTGTGGGACGTGAATTCGGGCAAGGAAATCCATAAATTCGACAAACTGAATCAAACGTTAAACGGAGTCTTTCATCCAAACGGGACTGAAGTTGTGTCCAACACCGAAGTATGGGACTTGAGGACATTTCACTTACTTAAGACAATTTCTACCCTCGACGAGATGGAAGTGATTTTTTCACCGATCAATAATATTATATACGCAGTTGCATTAGATCAGGATACTGAAAGCGATTCTCATTACGTGACTTCTTTTAAGACTCTAGACGCTTTAGATTATAGCAATATTGGTAAGTGAAGAAGAAAAGTTTATATTATTACATTTATTAATTTTATTCTATGAATTGTTCCTTTGTATAAATAAAATTTACATTATTACAATTCATAAAATAAAATTTATTAATTTTATTCTATGAATTGTTCCTTTGTATAAATAAAATTTATATTATTACAATTCATAAAATAAAAATTAATTTTATTTTTTATAAAAAAAATAGTATTAAATAGTATTAAATTTATTTATAAAATTTATTAATTTTATTGTATGAATTATTCCTTTGTATAAATATAATTTATTAATGTTACAGCAACTTGCGATGTAAAAAGAGGAATTTACGGTCTTGCCTGTAACAAATTCGACACGCAGATTGCTATAGTGGAGAATATAGGAGATTTTTCAAGCATACAGGAATCATGCGTTAGATTATACGATGTTGGAAGACGAAGGGACGACGAGGATGAAGCCGATGAAGATGACGAAGAGGAAGATCTCGATGCCAGCGATGATGATGGCTCCAATTCTGCATCTGATGATAATAATGCAGATGGTAAAAATTGATTATTTGTTACGATTTGTATGTTCCAGCTGTATTTTCTATATACAAGGTGTCCCATTTTAATCAATCGTCCCCAAATCTTTGTACAACAAAATGTTTCAAACAAAAATTGTTTGATATGAAGCGGGACAGAAGATGGTACTAAAGAGTGCTTTTTAAGATCATTTGAAGGTCAATTATGTTTTTTAAAATAGAACCACTATATATATTCTTATAAAGTAAAAAAAAATCAGTAGTACTATTTTCTGTTCCCCTTCGAATCAAATAACTTTTGTTTGAAACGTTTTGTTGTACAATAAAAATAAAAAAATTTGTGGTGATCAATTGAAATGATAGGGACTGTATTAAATTTAAAATTAAATTTTTTAAGATTAGAATTTATTCGCATATTTTTGAAACAGATGGTGATAATGCTGATGCTAGTGTAGAGGACAACGGCGATGATAACGATCAAAATGACAGGGAAAATAATGACGACGACGGCGACGACGAAGATGGCGGGGATGGAGATGATTCTGGGGACGATAGCGCAGATTACGATCCTAGTGTCGATATTCATGACCTCTCCGACGAATTTTCTTTATCCGACATAGATGATTTGGAGATATATTTTTCATGAATATCATTGATAATCCCCTTGTGTATACATACACTCACTCACACACATACACACACGAATACATACATAAGATAATTATAAAAAATTTGCACTACAATGTATTATTATTTGAAACTCTTTAAATGTATAAATATTTTCAATCGATTTAATATTTTGCTGTAATTTAAATATTCTCGTTTTACATATGGATATATAAATATGTCTGTACTTTTAAAAATTACAGATGATTCATTGTAAATGATTATTATCAACTTTTTTGTTCGATTATTGAATAAAAACGTGTTATATATTCTTTTCAATCAATGTTTATAAAAAATAAAAATTAAATTTTAAAATAAAAATTAAATTTTAATTTTAAATTTAAAATTTTTTAAACGCGTCGAATTGAGGCCGCATATTTTGTGATGTAAAAAATTCAAAAATCGCGGGTAAATTCTGAATAAAAACTCCCTAGGTCTAGAAAATTCCTAGATTCCTTGTTCGGAATTTTCCTGTCATTTTTGCTGTCACATCTATCTTACTTATTTGTTTATAACCGGATTAAAGTGATTCAATCGGTGCGACTCAAATTAATTAATTGCTAAATATTTGCGTTATATCGCACAACATTAATTAATAAAATGTTTGGCAAGAAAAAAGAGCCGAGACGACCCAGGACAGCTGGTGATTTGGAACAGGTATTACATTTTTTATGAATATATGCAGTATAAATTATTTCTCGTTGTTTGATGTTTTTGAGATTTGCATATATTTTTTATGCATTGTATTTTGCATTATAAATTTAATTCTCTTGGGGTTTGAAGTATACATAATTATGACACGTCTATTTGTATATGTTTGTTGATTATTATTATTAATATTATTATTATTATTAGATTATTAATATTTTATTATTTGTGGATTTTTTCATTAATATCTCATATCTCTAGTTTGGCATCTTCGAAGTGCCTGATATAAATATGGATAATATTGGTGATAATATGATGGATGATGACAACGATGAGGAATTAGAAGCTGAATTAGCTGCTTTGGCAGCTGGAAATGATACAGGCTACAAAAGTAGACGCACCAGTAAGTTGATGTTTTTTTAGTATATTTTATGAATTTGACATATAACAGAAATACATATGTATAAGATATAATGAAATTATATATATACATTTACAATACATAATTTACAAGATGTTTTAAAACTATTTTTAATATTTAATTCTGTGGCGCTAATTTGAAAATAGTTTTTCCTTTGATTTTAGCAAAACGTAAAGGAGTTGTCGGGTCAAATTTTCTTTAGTATATATTTTTGTAAACTAAATTCAAATTAAAATTAAATTACAGGATACTCTATCTGAAATTAATTAAAGAATATAGTTTTGTTAACTCTACAAGTTTAGTTTGCAAAAAACTCTTCTTTTTTTCTTATAATTCGGAAATATTAACACTTTGACATTTTTATTGAGAAGAAATTATTTCCAAATTAGCTGGAAAATTTATTATTAAAAATCGTTTGGTGAAGATTATAAAATTCAATAAAAGACACTGTTTAATAATTATAACTTAAAAAAAATTTCTTTAATCTATTCATGATCTACATTGTAATATTTCTCCTGAGAATCTTAAATAGAAGAAATATATTACCAAGTTTCTCCTAAAATGTTGTACATTATAATTCTTGAATTGCAAACAATAATTTATATTCTATATTTGCATCTGAATATAATATATAATATAGAAATATTATAGTTGCACGCAAAGCTGTTACCGATGTAAATTTGGACGAAATGGTGGCCGAGTCTATGAAGGATACAGTTTCTGATGAAGAGCCATCTGAAGGAGATAATGATCCTGCATTATTGGTATGTGATACTTAATCATACTAGATCATAATTAGTATAAGATTTAATCATTTTAAAATTCTTTGTTGCTTTAGAAAGAGCTGCAGACACTCACAGGAAATAAAGAAATAACGGAAGAGGCAGAAACGCCAGAAATAATGAAGGAGGAACAAGCAAAACCTAATGAAAGTGAATCTACTCCGGAAGAAAAAATTCTATGCAAGAAATGATCCAGATGTTGCAAGAAAGACTAACCATTTATGAAAAAGCTGAACAGAAGGCAAGAATAGAAAATGAATCTGGCAGGGCTAAAAGATTTAACAGAGGTGTAAGGACGCTCAAGGAAATGTTGGTTTCTGTGCAATCAGGTAGAAACATAGATGAAGCTGATATTCCTCCACTTTTACCTCCTTCTGCCACTGGAGAAGCTACAATTAAAAATACAGGTAAATACATATTTCATGTGCACATGCCAAGTATTGTTATTTATTTTTTATCTATGAATTTATCTAGATTTAATATTGAAATCAAATTCTATCTTGAAGAAAATATATAAAAAGTTCCATGAAACAAACTTTCATGAAAAAATATCTTCAAAAATAAGCACTTTTGAAAAGAAAGTTTAATATAAAGTTGCGTAATTAAAAATTGTAAATATACATTATACAATAATATTAATATTATCTTGGATAGTGTTTTTAAAGTTGTGAAGACTTGAATTTTTTTAAAGAGGAAAATTTCTATTTTTACTTCAGAAAAGTTATATCAGAAATTACACCAATTAATAATAAAAATTATGCACATTATAAAATTTAATTCTTTTCTATCATATTTTAATATCAACATTTTTATATCTAATAATGTATAATAATTATATATTTTATATAAACAGTGTGTATACAAAGTTTTCTTTAACTTGAAAGATTTGAATATTTCCTTTCTTTTTATGATACAAAAAAAGAGGAATCCAATAAGGAAATTTTTCCTTTTGAAGAAACAAATATAATGATATTTTTTATATACGATTTTGTATTTTGTGTGACATAACAGAAGAGTAGTTAATATTGAAGATAAAACTGTAATATTGCATTTTATAGCTTTTTTAAATTTTATAACAAATCAATTATATTTATCTCTATTTTTTAAACATTGAATTTGGAAATTTGTGACATTAACTTTTATAAATACTTTTTTTTTACAGTAAACGAAATATCGTCAACTGAAGTTGATGAACCATCTGCTGCATCAGATGTAGTTTCAAATGAAGGCCCTTCTGAACCTTCTGAACCAGCCGCAGATGTCACAGTTGATGAGGAAGCTTTGAATAAATTAAAAGCGCAACAGCAAAAATATAAGACTGCTGCAGTTGCTTGGAAAAAGGCGGGAAATAAAGAGCAAGCATTAGAGTATGTAAAAACCATAAAGCAATTCGACATAGTTATTGCTGCAGTTACTGCAGGTGAGAAGCTTGATTTGTCGGATATGCCACCTACTCCAACTCTACCATCTTCAGCAAATATTGCACCACCAGCAGCAGCAAAAGAAGAAAGCGAAACTCAGAAGCAAGCTTCTACAGATACAGGTTAATAGGCAACATTTTTTTCAAAAATATATGTTGCATTTGTTATTGTATATTATGTATTATATTATGTATTATATGTAATAATAATTAATAATATATAAACAAATATTTACGTAATAATTATCATTAATAATAAAAATATTATATAATAAATAAATAAATAATGTAAATTAAAATAAATTGCATACATCAATTCTTACTTGTAATAATATGCGATACAAAATCACATAATATATATATTTTAAAATAATAGAGTGTGGCTTATATTACTGACAGCTGACTCGCAAGCGAAGCTCGGTCCCGAGAACATCGAGGGTGCTCTTAAGGAACGTTTGGAAATGTACAGAAGAACAAAAGTGGCTGCCGATGCTGAGGGTAATACTTCTAAGGCGCGCAGATACAATAGAATTTGCAAACAATTTGAGGACGCTATTAAGTTATACACATCTGGGAAACCAGTAGCTCTGGATGAGCTTCCTGTTCCACCTGGTTTTCCACCATTGTCCAGTTCGCCAAGTAATGACAATACTGTGCAACCTGCAGCTCAGTCCAAGTCATCCGAAGATAGTGTAACAAAGCCTGCACTGCCAAAAGCACCTGTTCCTCCTCCTAGAACAGGTAAAGGATAATTAAATTTATTTTATATTTCTTTTGTATTTGTATACAGTGTTGAAAAAAGGTAAAATATTTTAAGGAGATTTGGCTTGTATGGCTCAAAATAAGTTAGAAAGTCTCAATAAACATGGGTCCGCAATTATAATTAATTTAATTTACTTATATTTACACGAATAAAATAATAAAAATAACAATTTTAAATTTAAAAAAATATCTCAAACATGGTTTATTATATATATATATATATTTGTATTATATTGTCTGATATTTTTTATTAGGACAGAAACCTCAAAAGATTACATCGCGTGCAGAGAAGCAAATGATACAATTGCAGTTGCGGCAGCGCGAATTGAAGCAAGCTGCGTTAAATGCTAAACAAGAGGGAGATATGGATTTGGCGCGTGATTATCTAAAACAAGCCAAAGGGATACAACCTTTAATAGAAGCCAGCAAGGCTGGATTGCCTGTCGATATGAATTCGATTCCATTATCGCCTCTTGAAAGAAGTGAAATTACTACGTGTCAAAAAGATGAAAATTTCATATTGGTATCTGCTGAGGATTTTTCAGAAGGCTCCACCGGGACAGATGATCAAATTTACGAAAATCTTGAAACTCAATTAATTAAACAAATTAAGGTAATAATAATCTTTTATAAGATAACATTAGAGTGATTTATTTTTATTTTATTATAAGAAAATTAAAGTAATGAATAATATATAGAAATTGGGAAAAAAAATATATATATATATAATAATAAATTGTACAGTTGCTGGCTTATATTGATACTAGCTTCAAATTTTAAAAATATATATATTAAATATATATATTTTTCGCATATAAAAAATATATATATTTAATATATATATTTTTAAAATTTGAAGCTAGTATCAATATAAGCCAGCAACTGTACAATTTATTATTTTATATTATTTAATAATATTATAATGATAAATATATATAATATAATAAATATAATAATATTATAAATAATAATTAAGTTTTTATTATTTAATTTCGCAGACGTGTTTGTCTTCACGGGATCATTCCAAAGCGTTGGGGAATGTTGCTGCATATAATAGGTGGGAACGACTTGCACTTGGTTACACGCGAGATTTAGATATGCTGAGAGTTCGAAAACGCGATTTACTGCCACCACCACAACATCATTACGAAGTCAAAACCTACCAAATAGTACAGTCAGTATAAATTAATTTTTTTTAATACCGATGATAATTCAAGTATTAAATGCACAAGAGTAAATGAAAAGAAATTATATGAAGAAAAGATCTCTTTTTTGAAAATGTACAAAATTCTTCATTTTTTTATTACATATAAAGCTCAAAAAATCTTAGTTTATATTTTTATTTTCTACTTTTATTTTTATTCTAACGAGAACAACACATATATTAAATATAGAAATATTATTATAAATTTAACGTATAAGACGGGCAACAAGAGCCAAATCGCGGATGACAATGCGTTATCCTAACGAAACTAAATAATTTTTCGTTAGAATTAAATACCGGTGCACAAGGCACCAAATTTTTACTTGGACACGGCCAAGATTTTAAATATGAAATAATCTCATATTTTGAGATTTAATTTCAATACCCCTTTAACCCCCCTACGGAAAATAAATAAATGAATGCAAGAGAAAAATATAGATCCGAAAATCGCTGAATCGGGAATCGAACCCGAGACCTTTCACTTGCCGGGCGACTGCTCTTCCAGCTGAGCTATTCAGATCCTTTCGATTCTATACTTTTCTCTGTTATATATATTAATGTTGGTAAACAAACGCATTTTTTAAGCCAGCGTGTATCAAATATAAGAGTTTTAACAAGGCTCTGTAATATAAATATAAATTTAACGTATAAGACGGGCAACAAGAGCCAAATCGCGGATGACAATGCGTTATCCTAACGAAACTAAATAATTTTTCGTTAGAATTAAATACCGGTGCACAAGGCACCAAATTTTTACTTGGACACGGCCAAGATTTTAAATATGAAATAATCTCATATTTTGAGATTTAATTTCAATACCCCTTTAACCCCCCTACGGAAAATAAATAAATGAATGCAAGAGAAAAATATAGATCCGAAAATCGCTGAATCGGGAATCGAACCCGAGACCTTTCACTTGCCGGGCGACTGCTCTTCCAGCTGAGCTATTCAGATCCTTTCGATTCTATACTTTTCTCTGTTATATATATTAATGTTGGTAAACAAACGCATTTTTTAAGCCAGCGTGTATCAAATATAAGAGTTTTAACAAGGCTCTGTAATATAAATATAAATTTAACGTATAAGACGGGCAACAAGAGCCAAATCGCGGATGACAATGCGTTATCCTAACGAAACTAAATAATTTTTCGTTAGAATTAAATACCGGTGCACAAGGCACCAAATTTTTACTTGGACACGGCCAAGATTTTAAATATGAAATAATCTCATATTTTGAGATTTAATTTCAATACCCCTTTAACCCCCCTACGGAAAATAAATAAATGAATGCAAGAGAAAAATATAGATCCGAAATATGAGATTATTTCATATTTAAAATCTTGGCCGTGTCCAAGTAAAAATTTGGTGCCTTGTGCACCGGTATTTAATTCTAACGAAAAATTATTTAGTTTCGTTAGGATAACGCATTGTCATCCGCGATTTGGCTCTTGTTGCCCGTCTTATACGTTAAATTTATATTTATATTACAGAGCCTTGTTAAAACTCTTATATTATTAATTTGATTATATGTTTTATGGAGAAAAAAGAAAATGAGGCAACTAATATTTTTTTATTAGTTTTGAAAAAAATGTTGAATGTCACAATTATTTTTGTTCAATTATATTTCTTCTAATTGTAAGTCAGATTATAAAAATTAAATCTGAATAAAATTATATTTTTTTCAGGTGTTGCACGGATTTAAACGACGGCGACATCGAAATTTCTATAATTAGGGGAATCAATTATTCTCGAGAGGCAGATACGTATGTCATGTTTGAATTTCCATTTCCGTCAGAAAATCATCCCGCGGATAGAACATCGACAGTCAAAGATTCTGCTAATCCTGAATACCAGGCTGTATTTCCGTTGAATGGGATTATAAATCGCACTTCCAGACAGTGTCAAAGGGCCTTCAAACGGCACGCTTTAAAGTGTGAAGTTTGGGCAAAAGGGTAATTCAATATTTTGTGTGTATGTGTGAATGTGTGTATATCAATAGCGTTTAACATTAATTAGTATTTAATATTAATTTTAATTTTAATCCATTGCACATTTAACAAAATACTATCGAAGATCCACAACTTTATTCTGCATGCAAATTTTTTGTCACTGTTAAGTGGCTTGAAATTGTGCATTAATAAGCATGGATATTAAATTTCACACACCATACTAATTTAATATCACATTATATAATTATTCCAATGAGAAAAATATTTTTGTAAAAGAAAGATGTAGATTTTAAATGCTCTAACACTAACAAATTCATATTTAAAAAATGATAAAACATGTCTGGAACAAAAAGTGACTTATAATTTTATGCAGAAAGATTATTTGTCTGAAAAATAATTTTGTTAGAAACACTAATAATTACCTGTATGTGTATTTATTATTGTTTAGAATTTTTTATTTATAAATATTTGTATTTTTATTTTTTATATAATAATACTCTTATCCTTTTGCAAATATCTATATTTCTTTCTCATTTAAATGGAAAATATATTAGAATAAAAAAAATAAGTTGAATTATCTCTTAGACAAGTAATAATCAGCATTTGTAGTGATAGTGAAATAATCTTTTTAAAATGCAATTAAATTGCATGAATTGCAATAAAAATAAATTGCATCTCTAATTTTACTTGTATACATCTTAAACATTGAAAGCTAGTTAAATATAAAAAGACAGTTAAATATTAATTATGTTAAATATTAGGAAACAGTATAAAATGAGAATATTGTACATAAAAAATAGAATATTGCTTGCAGATGCTCATTGAATCCCATTTTATGCTGCTCTCATCCCAGGTATGACATCCCTTAAATCCTGTAGAGTATGCAATTTGTTACATTTGCACAAAGATTTTGATAATACATTTTTAAGAATGATGTAATGTGCTATCCTAGTATTACCATATTATAAAAAGAAACAATAGCGTTTGCAAGATTAAATATTATATGTAAAAATTATCATAATGTTTGTAGAATCGTATACGTAAAATTGTATCGTTATTATTAATAATTATAGATTTTATCATATTACACAAGCAATCTGTAACAGCGTATATTTGAATTTCTGCGACGAATTTCTAAAAATACTCTTGATATCAGTTTTTTTAATATTTATTACATGTTTCGTAATGTTGCAGAGGTTTCTTTCGAAGTGATAGTCTACTTGGCACAGTGACGATAAAGTTACAACCTCTGGAGTCCCAGTGCACTTTACATGATTCCTTCCCGGTAATTGAATAACTTATTAATTTTGCACACTTTTTCTATACATGTAGAATAAATAAAAATTACCATATTATTTCAGCTTATGGATGGCAGAAAAGCAACAGGAGGAAAACTAGAGATAAAGATCCGTCTCAGAAATCCAATTCTTTTCAAGCAAATAGAAAACATGACGGAAAAATGGCTAACTATTGATCAATGATTGAATACAGCTCAATAATTTATCGTTGTCATTTTTTTAATCGTGAGGCCTTTATAAATTAGTTTTCGAGAGTAAATTACTGTATTTTTTAAATATATATGTAATTTAATATATATGTTAATTTTTTAAATTACATATATATTATATTATAATAATATATATGTAATTTAATATATATGTTAATTTTTTAAATTACATATATATTATATTATAATAATATATATGTAATTTAAAAATATATATAAAAACACATTCAATAATAAGTAAGATGCAAAAATGTAAATATTCTGTATGAAATAGTTCTGTATTGTAATAACCCAGGTAGCAAGCTGACGTCATTAACGTTAAAATGACGTCGAATGACGTCAGCTTGCTACCTGGGAAGTAACATACAATTGTAATATATATAAATGCGATAAAATTTTGACTGCTTTGCTTATGAAATTAATAAATAAAATAAAAAATACTTTTAGTGAGGAAATCATATTTTTTATATATATATAATGATTTATGAAATTTATTGCAAAAATATTTAAAAATTATCTTCAATTTTGGCGCGAATAATCGAATCTGTAATTCGCTGATTCTCCGCTAGAGGTCTCCACCGATTCTCCTGGCGGCCAAAATTATCGGAGGTCCTTTTAATAGATTTTTTTATCAATTTGAAGATGCACGCGTAATTTTTCCTCAGCAAAAATATCGAGAAAAGTCATCATTTTTTGTGAGTACCCAATTTTTATCATCATATATCTTGTAACTAAGCTTTAAATTAAAATTTATATTATAAAATAAACGGCGTTTATGTAAAATTAATTATAAATAAGAATATGTATATATACATATATAATATTCTTAATCTCTTAACTTCGCAAAGGTTAATTTGCGAAAAGCTCTTCTTTTTCAATTATTTAAAATCCGAGAAATTCGTATATATCTATCTTTTTTGATATAATAATTTATATGCAATTCAAAATTCCGCATATAATATAATGTGCGAATTGATATTAATATTTTCGATTTATACAAACTATTCTAAAATATATATTATTTTCGGAAATATATATCAAGAAAAATTAATTCAAAAAACATAAATATAATTAATAAAAATTGTTTAAAAAAACATAAATATAATTAATAAAAATTTTATTAATATTTTATTTTCAATTTAATTTTAAAATATTGAAATAAGTATAACATTAATTACAACTTTTATTAATTGTAATATTTATTTTTTATAGAATTTCTGCTTGAAATATATATTCAGAAATAATATGTAATTTTATATAAGATAACTTGTAATTAAATTGAAATTTCTTTTATATATACTATAATTAATATAATATAATTAATATATAAGACATAATTTAATTTATAATATATAATAAATAAATTTTAACATATGATCTATTTTAATATATAAATTTAATATATAATTTGCATGCCTTAAAAATGCGAAATTTTTTTTTACATTGAACTGTTTTATCAGTAAACGTATAAGAATAAGCAAAATGCATATGATCATTGCATAGATATAGATTATATATCTAAAAAGATATAGTGTGGATTTCTTAGATTTTAAATAGATGTGTATCGCGTGATTTACACACATAGAAACAGAATAATTCGCGCACTAGAAGCTGAATCCACGTTTCTCAGAGAACAATACAGCAGGTGAACCTCACTAACAAACTATTGTCCGATAATCGTTCGACTATGCCTCTTCCCTCAGTTAGCTGTACTATTAGTTCATTCCTCGATCTGTGTATAAGGCTTCCTATTTTAAGGATATATTTTAGGAGAGTAAAAAAATCTGTTCTTTTGCACAAAGTCAAATTTTAAAATATTTGTCGTCTAATTATTTTTATTTCGGGCAATATGTTAAAAAAACGCTTTTTTTCTATTTTAACATTTTGATTGCAGTTTCCAATTTACTTGCATTATTTATTTTCCTCGGATTCTATTTTATTTTTGTTTAAAAATTTTTAATATTTATAATAAATGAAAAAGAAATGATTGTGGGTTTAAATGAATAAATTATTTTTTAACACATTGTTTCGAAATATTTGTGCATCATAATATTAAAGTTGTAGCTGACGATTTGACAATTCTAAATATTGTTGCATTTTAAAAATTAAACAAGATTAAAAATTTGTTTTCAAACATTTTTTTAAATATTATTAATATATGATTAAATAATTCTTATCATGAAACTTTTGTATAAAACATTATCTGATATCTCGAATACTTCGAAAAAAGCTCTATAAAGGTGGTTGCAATCCTTAGAATCATTTTTCAATCGCAACTACAAGTTCATTCCTTAGTTTAGAATATATTTTAGAAGAGTAAAACATATGTTCTTTTGCAAAGTTAAATTTTGCAATATTTGTCATCGTCTAATTATTTTTATTTCGAGAAATATGCTAAAAACATACTTTTTATATTTTAACATTTTGATTGCAGTCCAATTTACTTGCATTATTTATTGTTATTAGAATCTATGCTATTTTTCTTTAAAAAATATTTTTTATTTCAAAAATTTTGTAAAATCTAAATAAGATTTATAATAAATGAAAATAATGATTATGTTTAAGAAAATTAATTTTTTATTAATGCAGTTTGTGTCTAAATATTTGTGCATTATAATATAGAGTTGTATCTGAAAATTTGACAATTATAAGTGTTGATACATTTAAAAATTAAACATAAGATTCAAAAATTTTTTCAAAAAATTATTTTTTTTTAATATTAATAGATTAAATCATTTTTACCATGAAACTTTTGTATAAAACATTTTTGATATCTGGAATATTTTTCGAAAAAAGTAAAAAGTCGCTCTACACACTGAAAAAAATTTAATTTAACTAAATTTTTCAACTAAATTACTTTGTTAATTGAACATATATTAGTATTGAAATCAAATAAACATTTTGTTATATTTAATGTGTTATTTTAATGTAAATATTTTTATATATTTAATTAACAAAATAATTATATTTAATTGAAAGATTTAATCAAGTTAACATTTTTTAGTGTACAACCCTTAAAATTATTTATTAAAATAAATTTCAATTTAATTACAAACTATCTTATATAACAATACATATTATTTCCGAAAATATATCTCAAGCAGAAATTCTATAACAAAAATAAATATTACAATTGTAATAAAAATTGTAATTAATGTTATATTTTCAATATTTTAAAATTAAATTGAAAATAAAATATTAATAAAACTTTTATTAATTATATTTATGTTTTCTGGACTGTAAGTACACAAATTCCTAAATTCGTACTATTAATTTTTCCTACAAAATTCCTTCCGAAGATCAGAATTTTCACGAGGGCCTCTGGTCAGCATCCCTTTTCGCTCTCTCCATTCTTTTCCCCGACAAATATTTCGCGCATCTAATATCCATAATCGATTTGCGCGTAAAACGCAGTGACACCCGCACAAGTGTGTCAGCCACAAGTATTAAGTAACCACGTCTGACACAGGGAACAATGCGTTAAGAGCGACGAGGGTGAGGACTCTGAAAGGTCACCGAAAATTCGGAAGACTTCAGGAGAGGGTTGCGTTAAATCAAGTACCGTCTATCGATCGCGCATGATCGGAAAACAATGGGATTTATTTGCCAATTAGACAATTAACTCGGCCCACATGGAGAGCGGGAGAGATGCTCTTCTCTCCGACCGACTGAAAACTCCGGCGAACGTGCATATACCCTCGGGGGCGCATAGTATTTGCTGTGTATACACGTAACGGTGGTAATGTTGACCCTTTAGCCTCTCCGACTTTCCGCCTGCAAATTAATGATGTTTATTCGCTCAACCCTTTCGCCTCCGTCTCGACCTCCCGTCGTCTTATTCTCATCTGCGAAAATCACCAAAAACCAGTGTTCTGTATCACGATTTTGCTTTTTTTTTATATTTTTAACAAGTATTTTACTATTTAATTGACAATATTTATGACTAATTAATTAAAAATATATTAATAATATTATATTTGAACATATTTAATATTAAATATATTACCTGTGTTTTTAAATATTAATATTAATATTAATTAATATACATTTATATATATTTATATATATTTAATTAATTTTATATATGTATATATATATATATAATTAATTAAATATATACAAATATATATTAATATATATATTAATATTTAATATTTAAAAACACAGTAATATTTAATATATTATACTTTAATATATTAAATATATTACTTTAATATACTATAATATTACTTTAAAATTTTTAATATATTACTTTAATATATTAAATATATTACTGTGTTTTTAAATATTAATATACATTTATATATATTTATATATATTTAATTAATTTTATATATATTTTTTTTAATTAAAACATTTAAAAATTTATAAAAATTGTAATATTTTGTTACTATTCCCGTAATTTTTTGAATGGTTTTATTTGGAAAAATATATATAAAAATCAATTAATCATATATTTATGACTAATTAATTAAAAATATATTGATAAAATTTGAACATATTTAATATTAAATATATTATTGTTTTTAAATATAAATTAATATATACATTTATATATATTTATATATATTTTTTTTTAATTAAAACATTTAAAAAATTATAAAAATTGTAATATTTTGTTACCTTTCCCGTAATTTTTTGAATGTTTTCATTTAGAAAAATATATATACAAGATCAAATTAAGCACTCAAAATTCACATTTTTAAAAGATATATCTAATCCTCTATATTACAGAAGATTGGTGGTATTTACATTCTTGTACTAATGATTTAAAAACAAGTAATTAAGAATTAATAAACAGTATTTTGTATTATTTACAAATAAGAGATGATCAATTGTAATATTGCATTCTACACATTAATTTGAAGATTAATTGATATATATATTTTGCATACATACAGTTTAGTTATAAATAGCTCTCAAATCAGAAAATTGGAAATCACGAAGAGAAACAACTGTCTTGGACGATGTTGTGTATGGTTAAATGCAAAAAATGACAAATTTTTAAGTCTTGTCCATAAGATAACCTTTAACATAGAACCAACTATTTATCTCTACAAATATGTTACAATGTTCTGATTC